AGCATGCCTTTTCCGGAGATTCATTGTCAATTGCGGTTCAGGATGGTCCAAACGCGGGGCAAACGGTTGCTCATGTCCACGTTCACGTCCTTCCGCGTCGCGCGGGGGATATCGAGCCCAATGATTTGGTTTACGAACACCTAGAGCGATTTGGTTTGGAGCTCCGTTCAATTCACGAGAAACAAATGGATAGCGACCGGAAACCTCGCTCGCCGGACCAGATGCGTGCCGAAGCAGACTGGCTCCGGACGCAGTGCGCACAAGTCCTGCATTCGGGACCATAGAGACAGCTGGTACGCTTTGTATTAGCCATCAACATATATACATCTCTATAGGGCCCCAACAGCGACCGAAATAAGGATCCCAAACATTGCGAACAAAAGAAAGCCGGTGATGCATGCAAGCAAGAAGACTGCGTTACACGTTTCACGTACCCTCGACCCGGCTTGGTATAAACACGCTTCGTATCAATGCTTTTTGGATGTGGAAAAAGCGTTGCGCACCAATTAGCAGTACAACGACGCCAATTCCCACAAACGATACACCGATCGGAGCTCCGCTGCATGAATACGGACGATACATACACTCTCTTAAGCGAACTTATTTTCACGTTCTTAAGCACATGCATATTCCCACGGAGCATGACAGCCAAGCCAGAGGCCTCATTCCGATCCACGATGATTTCTGGCAGTCGAAATAATTGAGTAATGGCGCTTTATGAGAAGCTCACATACATTCCAATTGCTACTAGGCTTAAAGATGTCCGCATCCATGCCAAAAATGTCCGCTCGAGGGCGAGATGATCGCGCGCGACCGACCCCTTGTTCTCCAGTTCGTACATTAATTGCATGGTTACGAAGCTGGATGTAGATCGGGCCATCGGGGCCCGTGCGGATCTACAACGGGTTGCTCCGGACGACGACATGACGCTACCTCAGTACGTGCAGTCGATTGTCAAGTACAAAAGCCCGCATCCCCAAGATCTCTCCTTTCAAAAAGGAGCATACATCCGCGTGCTAGGCTTGGCTGAACGAGCCGGTGGCGATGACGACGAGGAGGAGGATGAAGAGGACCATTGGTACCTTGGCGAGCTCCTCGATGGGACAAAGCGAGGGCAATTCCCTGCTAGTCTCGTGAAGCCCGTGGATGCACAGGACATTGTCTCTCTTCAATCAAGTTCCCCGAGCACCAGAACAGCTGTGCCTAACGCGGCACCTGCGTCCACTGACGCCGTGCCGGCGAATGCGGGGACAGACGAGGTGCCAAAAGAGGCCCCGGCTCCGGCTCCGATTGTATTGGAGACTGCGGTAGAACAGGATACGTGTGGAAACGTGGAACGGGAGGATGTTAAGGTGCCGTCAGGGTCCGTCCCTACTCACTCGGAGCTTAACGCGGCTCCTACGAACCCCACCTTGGCAACTGATGCAAAGTCGGGGGGGACCCTCATGGTCAGGACGGAGACGCTGGAGTTAGACGCTGAATCGTTCACGTCTGAACCACGAACTATTTCTCCTGAGCCTGCGGTCCCTGTTGCCGCACCAAAACCAACTACACCCGTGGAAGAACATAAGCCTCCCGCACCGACGCAGTCTGACTCTGACGTGCCTGATCCCAGCCGCCTCTCCCTCCGTGAACGTATTGCTGCCTTCAACAAGCCCATTGAAAAGGCGCCCCCGCCACCCATCCCGCGCGGCAAGCCCGGTGGCTGGAAGCGCCCGCCGCCGCCGGACAATGGACAGAAGCAGCCCGTGCCCGCTGCCAACGAGGCTCGTGCGGCCACTGGCCAGGCAAACACATCCGCGCCAGTCGGTGAGCCGATACGTAACGATATGCCTGGTTCTTTCAGTGCATCAGATGCCAAGAGCAGTATCAAGATGAGCCTCAAGGAGCGTATGGCGGCACTGCAGCGGAACGAGGCCGAGATGAAGTCCCCAGTTGCGCCTCCGCCCCGCAAACTCAGTCGCGATATCGAAACAGAGGCTCCTCCCGAGGAAGATGTGGACGAAGACGAGAAGGCGCGTCGTGCAGCCATTACGCAGCGCATGGCGCGTATCGGCGGCCAAAAAATGGGCCCGTTTGGCGGCATCGCTGCCCCGATGCAGCCACCCCCCAAGGCTGCTGTCCCCGAAGCCGCTGCAGCACCGGCCCAGGAGGATGGCGTGGCACCCAGCGCGGAGCTGTCCGAGCCGATTGAACCGGCCGCGCAGGTCGACATGCCGAACGCCGACACGGGCAGCGCCGATGCCCCCGAAACGCTCGTCATCCCCCGGCGCACAGCGGCCCCCCGGACGCGGCGACCCAAACCGGCTGCGTCCGCACCCGCCCCCACCAACAGTGAGACACTGGCGCCAGATGCGATCGCCAACCCGGACGCGACGTCGCCGGATCTGGCCCCAGCCGTGCCAGTGGTCAAGGGGTCGGACGATTTCACAAAAACGGTGGGCGCTGATGCTGCTTCAGAAATGGCATCTGACACCTCTCCACGGGCTACGAATGATGTGGATGCTACAGAGCCTCAAGCGCCTGTGCACTCCGCATCGACTGAGCCGGTCCGCAGTGTGCCACCGGCCGCACCGGAGCAAGACACTGTGCGTGGGTCGGCAGCAGAATCTACAAAGACACCTGACGCGCCTTCCACGGCTGCATCCCTCGCCGACGAGTTTGCGCTGCCCTCGGCCCAGGTGGAGACGACGCGCCCGGAGCTGCTGGCCGACATGCGTGCACATCGCGAGCCATATGCGCACACAGCGCCAGCAGAGGAGCAACCACCGGCAGAGCCGCCGAGTCCCGTCAATGTTAAGTCACCGGTACTCGAAACGGTGCCGACGCGCCCAGCACCTGTGCCCGAGGCGTTGACCAGCAATGGCTCGGCGGATTCAGAAGTCCGGCCTGCTCCACCAGTAGTGCCGGCGCCTTCGATGGAGGCAAGTACCACGGCGCCTTCTACCGAAACGGAGCAGCCCGCTGTGGCGATGCCGTCGCACCCACCTCCAGTGGCCCCGGCCCAAGAAGACATCCCCATCGTACCCGACGCAGTGCCGATCAAACGCGCTGTGCCCCCGCCCCGAAGTGCGCCGCCACCGCCCATGGTCTCCGCCGCACCGGTTGCAGGTGCAACTCGTGAAGCGCCTGGGCAAGAGGTGCAGCCGGCCGCCGAGCCCCAACCGGCAGGAGTGGAGTCGGACGACTTCGTGGAGCAACGTCACCAGCTCGAGCAGCTGCTGGCTGAGGAGCAGGATACATCGGGGCAAAAAAGCTCAGCACTTCCTTACATCCAAGAGAAGGAACCCGGCACTCTGATGCAAGAAGCCTCTATGCTTCCTCATGCCCCCGGAGAGGTACCTGCAAGCGAACCACAAGAGGCCGGGCAACCTGCCTTTACCCGCATCACCAGGGTGCCTCCGACGCCCACCGAAGAGCTGGCGGCTCCGCCCGTTGTCCGTCCCGAGCGCGCTGCGCCCGTACCACCGCTCATGCTGGACTCCAAGACGGAGACGCTAAGCCCGTCGCAGGGTGCGAGCTTGAACCGGACAGACTCGACTGCGTCGGAAAAGAACATGCGCTCAGCGCCGCTCTTTGCGCCGTCGCCCTCCGATGTCAGTTTCCCCACCTTTGCATCGCCACCGCAACGCGATTCGGAGGAACTGAATCGATCGGAAGAAGATGCAGAGCAAGAGCGCCGTGCCCAGCTCGCGCAACGTATGGCGCGGATTGGCGGTCAGCGTATTGCCGGAATCCCTGGCGCACCCGTTGCTGCGCGTCCAATGACCCCACCGTCGCAGGTTGTGCATGATTCCGTACCCGCGCCACAGACACCTTCTGCGCAACCCGAGGCACCTGTGGTACCGCAAGAGCCGAAGCTGCCCGATGTGCCTGTGACTGCCACGCCGGACCTGGCACCAGTTGCACATCCGCAGCGGCCAGTGCGACGTGCGCCGACGCTTCCTCCGGACCTACAACTACACAATGACGGTGCTCTCGAGCCTGGTGAATCGCATGTGCATCCCTCGCGTGCGCCGCCGTCGCGTCCACCTCCGTCGCGCGTTCCGCCCCCTGCAGGGGGAGTCCCAGCGCGGCACGAAACCCTTTAGTAGGCTAGTCTTTAATGCATTAATTGTGAATCCGTCCATTTCCTCCACATTGCACCATGGTCCGGTTCAAGGTAGGTGCGCTGCTCATGGCAGAATCGGTGGTTGTTATTGTCTCTGGCTGGCCAACCTGACCATACAAGCGACGATCTCGGTGAACTTGTGTCACAGATTGAGGCACGAAAGTACTTGCCAAAGGCACCGGGTGTCAATGCGTACGGAATTGCCAAGGCGCTCCGTGCGTCCTTGCAGCAGAACTTTGGCGATGCGGCTGCGGGCGCTTACGGTGGGCCATTGACGTGCAAATACTATTCACCGAAGTCGGGCATCGCGATCGTACGGTGCGCTCGCGAGGGAATGCGCTACGTGTGGGCCTCGGCGACGCTGCTGAACGAAATAGAGGGGCAACCCGTGCGCATCTGCACTTATGCATGCGGTGGTATGTGTCAGGCTCACACAGGCACTATTCGAAAACTTCAGCGCAAAGCGATTGCGATTGACAGGTACTATATTTTGCAACTGGAACAGGCCCAACACGACATGGCCAAGATACCCCCTCCACCGGCTGTGACCGCCCCAGACGGGTATGGTGACCTTGAAGACGACGATCTTGGCATGGCTGTGGATGCCGAGCCCGTCGAGGAGAATCCACAGGGCGACCGTGATATGGAAGCGCACGAACCGTACAATGCGGTAGACGCGGACGAGACAGCTGCACCGCCCGGGATATCCAGTGCGACCGCCCGGCTGCTGGAACAAAGCCGAGCAGATATCCTCAATATCTCTTAATTTATGTTTGTTGTGCGAGAGGGAAGGTGCACATTGCAGATGCGTTGCAGGAAGGTAACGGACAACGCATTCTGTTGCTAAAGGAACAAATACGCCTCCCACACTGGGCAGATCAACAGCAATGTCTCGTTGGTGTAGTTGGTTATCACGTCGGTCTCATAAAATGATCGCGCTTGGCGCGAATGATATCTGGAGGTCGCCAGTTCGATCCTGGCACGGGACATTAACTTTTTTTTTTTTTTTTTTTTTTTTGGCTTTTTGTGCTTGGCTAATGCCACGTGAGGTCCTCGTGAGACATGGTCAGCGCCTGGGTGTGTCGGTGTATAGTACAAGGTACATGCTATGAGCACAACTAGCAAGGATATGCCTTGCTCTAACTAGACAGGGGAAGCGAGGAGGTCGAGGGGAACGCGTGCGATGCGCCGTCCGGGGACCCGATGCTGGCCTTGTTTAACGCATTCGCATCGAAACCGAGCGTCGGGAACGGTGAAGGTGGAAGCTGGCCTAGCACTGACTGCGACGGCGCATTAAAATTGGCCATGGTCATTGCGTTCCCACTTTCCGCTTGCATGCCCTGTGACAGAATCCAGTCCCAGAACCCGTCCATGACCGGTGGGCTGTTGTCCGCCGGGCTGTGTGTCGTGGTATGCGACGACACGGAGCCTGAGTAGGAGCTGGGGCTGCGGCTGTCCATAAAGCTCGGGGGCAGATTGGAATAGGAGTTGGACATCCCTGAGGTGCTTGCATCGGACATGGTCACGTCCAAGCTCTGTGGCCCATTGGCTCGCATTGCGTTCGTGACGTTCTGGTTCGTCATTGCGCCATTTGTCGTGGGATTGGTGTTAGGCAACTCAAAGGTGTCGAGGAATGATTGCAGATCAAAGTCCATGTTGACCGGTGCGGGTGGATCTTGAGCCATGGGCATCTCGATACCGCTGGGCCCAATTTGGTATGGGTCGAGTGACGAAAAGGATGGCTGGTAAGGCGGCATCGCGTTCAGAGGATAGGAAACCCCGCCGGTGGTGTCCTGCGACGCCGGCATAGGAGGTAGCGCCGAGACCGAGTCGGGCAGCGATTGCGTCTGCCGCTCGCGTTCGCGCTTTTGCTTAGTGATGGTCGGTTCCGGCTCCTGGAAGATGGGCTTGTTTTCGTCGCCTTCCACGAGCGGTTCAGCGCCACGCGAAATGCGCGCGACACGCAGCGCCATGTTGAGCAGGTGGGTACGTGACTGTGGCTCCTGCGTGCTTCCACGCTGTTGCATTGCATCCCATTGCTTCTGCTCCTCGTCGAGCAGCACACGGATGATCCGGATGCCGCGCGGAGCCAATCCGGCATCCTGCGCCGCGCGGCACATGCCATCGAGGCCCTCGGCAATCTCGGAACGGATCGTCTCGCGCTGGATGGCGGTGGGCGGCGTGTAGAGCAGGTCGAGACACAAGAGAGTCGTGGCGTTAAAGCTCTGTAGTACGTTTTGCACGAGCTTGTCACCAAGATCGCTGCGCTTGCGGATGTCGCGCTGCATCGACAGCACGCGCCGCGCAAGTTCCACACAGCAGTTACGCGCCTGCTTCTTGCTGAGCGCCTGACGGTGCAGTTGTAACAGGCGGTCAAATACGTTCTGCTGGAATGCCCAGCGCTGCACCTCGATCAGCTCCTTGCTCTGGTGCCCTGCCATCTTGTCAGAAAAGACGGCCGCACTGCGCAAGACACCATGGTACTTGCCATCGAGCGCAATGTTAAAGTCACACGCGATGCGCCGCGGCTTGCCAATGGTTGCCTCCTCCATGTCAAGGCGCGTCACCATGTCGACATGCTCGCGAGTGATCTTGGCGAGCTCCATCATGGACAATGCATAGGAGATCTCGGTAAATACATCATTCGCGTGCGGCTGTGTGCCAGAGCGGAGCAGATCATCGTTGTTAAAGTTGCCCGGCATGGGTGTGTTGAACTGATGCGGCTGGATCATGTACGGTGTGGTGCTGAGCAGCGCACAGTTCCAATCGCTAACCACCAACGACCACCAGAGTCGCTTGGCGATCTCTTGGCGGATGCGGTAGTCAAGACCGTCGCCGGGCTTGGGCTGGTTCGCCAGATCGCCGAGGCGGTGCAGGCCCATGCCCTGCGCGTTGGAGATGGCAATACGCATCATTGCCGGCGCTTGGTTTGCCGAGCGGGGACACTGGCACATGAGCAACACAATGGTCGTAAGCACGTTGAGCGACGTGGAGCCAATGAAGCCCGACAGCACCAGACACGTCTTGGTCGCGCTGCACCACAACGGTGCATAGCCCTGGTCGATGAAGCGCCCGAGCTGCGCATTGACATGTTCGTCATCCGCCTCGCGGAAGCGTAGGCCAATGTTGAGCACCATGAGCAGCACACCGAGCCAACACGTGTCCGATGAGTCGATCGCCTTGGCACAGCACAGCGGCGTGGTCAAAGAGTACATCATCCGCACCTCTTTGCGGAGCGTAGGAATGTGCACCACGTTCATGGTGAACGGTTGCGCACGCCGCTCAAAGATGTCGAGCAGCAGTTCCGTCTGCTCGAGCGTCGGCAAAGTACGCACGATCGCCGTGAGCACGGCAAGACGTTCAGGCGTCACATGAGCCGCAGTGGACGACGAGGATGCCTTGGTGCAGTCGACCGTATCGCGGATCACGTCGAATTGGCCCATTTCTTGTGCGGCCGCCAGCGCCCAGCCGAGTCCCCAGCCGAGCGACGACTCCGTGCTGCTTTCAAGGCGGAGCAGGCTTTTGCTGCGACACGCCGACATCATCGGACAATCCAGCGGGTCGCCCATGTCCAGTTCAGGCTTCGGCGCCTGGTCACCCTGCGCCGCATGGCACTGGGCGAGCGCCGCAGCGTGCTTGGCGGTGATAGAGTAGTCGATCGGATCGATCACGCCCTCGTTTGCGAGCTCGCGCCGCACCTCAGGGCTGTCCGAAGACCGCGCCTTGTCGAACGCACGGCGCATCGCCTGTCGCCCGCGGTGCTGGTTGAAGGCGAGTGTACCTTCCATGGTAAGACCCTCGAGCACGAGCGCGGCGTCCTCGGCCTCGGGATCGATCTCGGCCACCTGCTCGCCTGGGCGGTTATGCACGCGGATAGGGTGATCGGGCAGGTTTCCGAGAGAGTCGCGCGGTAGCGCATTCGTCGGCGTCGCCGATGTGGTCGGCTTGCGCGACTGCTGGTCGAGAAGCATCTCCAGATACTCGAGTCGGCGCCGGATGTCTTTCACGTCATCTTTGGGATCTGGAGGTGCTGACGATGCCGACTGAGACACAATTTCGCCTGAGCGGCTGCGCTTCTCAAAGCAGCACGAATCGGCCATGCCGTGGCGCTTGCAGGGCCCGCATGGAATCGTACGGTCGCAACGAATTTTGCGCTTGCGACACGTTGCACAGCTCAGTGGCTGGCGATTGCGCCGACGCACTGGCCTTCCGTCGCGCACGTCCAGCTGGGCGACTGGCCGTCCGTCGCGCGCGTCCGACTCGGCTCCCGACATCGTCGAGCGACGCCGACCGAGACGTACCGCTGACGTTGCCACGAGCTGAGTCAGCTCGGGGATTGCGTACTTTTATCTCCGAACTACCTTCGCCATGGGGACGGAGCGCACGCGCCGCGGGCAAACACGCGAGGTACGTGGGACGCCACGCAGCTTACACAGGAAGTAGACAGGCTTCGCGCTGTACAGCTCGATCTTGCAGAAGCCCAGGCACTCCCGCTGGGAGCCCAGCAGTACCTGGCGGCGCTTGTGCGCGCCGATCCCCACAATGTCAGTGCCATCGTGCCCGTGCCTGAGCGAGACGGGCACCCCGCATTTGCAGAGCGCGTTTGGATTCATGTGCAGTTGATGTATGTCTTTTGTACCCATCGCTGACCACAGGCAACTCGTGCACGATCTCAATGTGCCGTGGCTGCTCGCGCTGCAGGGCGCGTGCACCGCCCACCAGACGGCGTGCGCGACGATGCACGTCGGCGCAGACGCCTATTTATGCCCAGTACATGGAGACGGGCGCTCGTGCGCCGCGCTTGAATACATCCAGCACGCACTCGACGCGATTGCGAAGCAGCTTGCATCGCCCGAAGCATTTCCTCCGGACGCACCCATCCCCCACCGGAGCGTGCGCCTGTTTGGCGCGGCGTGCAAGCAGATTGCGCGTGTGTTTTTGCACATCTATAACCATCACCCTGCCCTGTTTGCCCAGTGCGAGGCGTCGTCTGCGCTCTATGCACGCTTCCGCCTGCTGGCCGAACGCTACGCTCTCTTCCCCACCGACGCGCTCCCCGTGGAGCCGTGATATACCCCCGATCAATCGCACGCTAGTGCGCCGCGGTGGGCACAGCTTGGCTCCGGCCTGTGGTCAGTTTGCGCACACCAAAACAGCACGTACATAGTGGACATGTATTCGAACTCTGCTCCAGCCATTGGTCAACACACGCTGCGTGGAAGGCGTGGTGGCAATTGAGCACCCGACACTCGTCCGCATCTTGCCACTCTTCGAGACACACGAGACACTTTTCGCTCGTGTTCTCTGTCACCTTTCCGTCGCGTTGCAGCGCCGGGAGCTCGCACGCACGCACACGCAGCAGCCCGCTGCGTGCAATGTCGGCCGCACTCGCAGTCTGCGGCTTGCTGCTCAGCGCCACCATCGTGCCGAGCAGCTCCATCATAAACATCAAGTCACGCCCAGCATCGCGAGGGCGTGAAGTCAACAGCGGGTGGTGGTCGTCGTAGCGCCCGCCGCTCACAAACAGGATGAAACGCGACGTACCCGCTTGGCCGTCGTCACTGCCCATCAGCTGCTCGTCAGCACGCAGACTGCGCACGCCCACGAGCACACATGGCGTGAGCGACTCGGCGGTGCGCTCGAAGCGGAACAACCGGAAAAATGAAAGCTGTCCCCAGCTCAGATCGCCTTCGCGTCGCGCATGCACCGCCGGATCAGACTCGGGGGCCGGGGGCGGTGCAGTGTCGCGCGACGTCGAGTCGCGGTCGATTTGGACCACGGCGGCAGTCAAATCTTGAATCAGGTCGTACAAAAACCGCTCAAATGTCCCAGGCTCTCCCTGCGTGAGCGGAGTGCCCTGCCGCGCATGCTCGAGCGTGCTCAGCACGGCGGAGGCCGCCGAGTTCGATTCGCGCGGCTCCGAGGACGACGGGTGCGGTGACGATGGCGACGACGTACGTAGCGCCTCGCGCATCAAATGCGAGATGGT